CCCAAAAAACAAACAAACAACAAACATAAGAACTAGGAGGCCTTTTAAAAAATTTAATTGATCTCTTTGATGTGTAAATTTTCTCATCAATGAGTGATTTTTAAATTTTTTTATTCAATGAGTTAAACTGTTTCACGTAGCATATCCCACTTTGAAGTCTTGGTTGTTACAAAGTTCTTTTTTACATGGAAACAAAGCATGCCTTTGCTATTCTAACTAAGCTGTCATATTTTCCCTACAATATGTTGTCATATCTTCAAGTTTTCCTCAACTGTTTTCTAGTTTCTTTAGTTTTGTCCCTCTTATGTTGCACCCAAAATAAAACACGCAATTAGCCTTTTTGAACAATATTTTCAAACTGTGGGGTGTGACTCATTCCTGCATTAAGAAATCAAGTTTTAAAAAAATCTTTAAATAGGATAGGAAAAAAAAATCAGAATATACAGTATATAGTAAGGATTAATAGCTTTTCACAAAACCTTTGATACACATAAAACTATGAACTGGATTGCAAGGTAAATGCATTTCTCACTGGGTTTGCAGTAAATAAAACTTGGAAAGCCATTACTTTAGAGAGTGTTATAGTGAGATAAGAGAGAAAAAATTTCACCCAATGTTATCAATATACATGCAAAATAGTGTACTGAACCAGCAGCACTGGGAGAAATTAAGGGTCTAGAATTAACTACAGAAATATTTGCCTTTGAGAGAAACAGTCCAAGTGGGGTGGTTTGAACAAAACAAGACATATAAACTGAGCTGGAAACTGGACACAGAATATAGTACAGATACTGATTCCTATTAGAGTTACAACCAAGTGTTCTCATCTCCTGATGGGTGCTCACTCGCAACACCAGACCTGGGCAGAGGTCCAGCGTACACTCAGGGGTGTCATGTGCTGCTGCATAGCATATCACCAACATCTTACATAAAAGAGCAGAAGGTGCCTAGGACCACAGCTGATATCATATTATGACATAGTTTGGGACATTTTTTTCTTTTAATCAAGATTTGTTTTATCTTTCTGATTGAACCGGAAAACAAGGGATGGGCGTTTTCATATATTACCTTTTCATTCTTACAACTACCTGATGAAGGTATTATTATCCAACTTTAAAGTTACAAACCGACTCTGAGAGAGTAACTTGCCCCAAGTCACAGAGCTCCTAAATTAAAGGTTTGCTTTATTTATTATTTTTAAGTACGTAAAATTGTCCCATACCACCAATATGCCTTGGCAATTAATTGTGCAGTCAATGATTGACTGTCTGCTCAGGAATGACCAGCTATGTAACAAATATGTAACAAGTGTATGGTTCCAGATTAATCTCTGCCACTTCAAAATAGTGACTGATTGGTCGGTCGTTAGGCAAACAAAGGCAGATTAATCTTTCAAAAGTATATACTTTATTCCAAAGTTGAATTTGAGCGTTTAATCATTTGCCTCACAGCAACAGAGAAATCACTGACAATATCCTACAAGCTAAGTGGGTTATTATTACTGCTTCATCTGAATTCTCGAAAAACTAATCTCTGATCTATTTTTCACTTGGATACTGTGTGGGGGAGGGAGCGGGGACCAAGCGATGTACTGACCCCGTCTGACCCCCTAGCCAGGGAGAGGGATCCGATAGGTTTGCGAGTTTGGATATCAGCCATAAGCACGGATGGAGGCGTCACTCGGTGTGAAGTTGCACCTGCCAAGTTTTTTAAGACCCGTTGCCCCCAACAGCAGCTTTGGATACGATGTCGCGCCGCCAGCCGAGCCCAGGTGCGCACAGAGCCCGACCACCCGCCCTCGCCTCCAGGCGCTTCCTTCGCCTCTCGGAGCCGCCCGGCCCGGCCTGCTGCCAGGCCCGGGAGCCCCGTGTCTCCGCCGGCAACGCTCGCCCGCCCTCACCTCCTCGCTGTGCGTGGACGGGCACTTCTTCCGCAGGCGGCCCCAGTTCAGCAGGTTCCCTGTCTGCAGGTGCAGGGTGCGGGCCCGCGCCAGGAGCGCCCCGGCCGCGCGGCTGTCGGTGTTCATGGCAGCGGCCGACGGAGGGGGCCAGGCGGCGATGGGGCCGCAGGCGGGGAAGGAGGCCGCCCCGCAGACACGGTCCCGAGGCTGGAAAGCCGAGCGCGAGGCTGCGCGCCCCGCGTGGCGGGACCTTGGCCTGCGCTGGGGCCCGCGGGAAGCCGGGCGGCGGCTGAGCGGTGGTCCGGAAAAGACGCGCTGATGGCTGCGGCTCCTGCTACTGCGGCCGCCGCAGCAGAGCTGACACCCAACTGAGGGAGCCGTTTCCTGGAAGACTATGACTAAGCAGAAATCGCGGCGGAGAAAGTGCTTCGTAACCGTTATCCGTCCCGCGGCGGAGCCGGGCTGGGCGAGGCGCCGAGTGAGCTGCGGGTCGCCGGGCTGCGGGTGACTGGCCCTTGGACTGTGGCGGGCGTGGCGCCAGGAGGCGGACCGGCGCGCGGGCCGCGCGGGGCTCCGCAGGGCTCCCCCTGCCGGTCAGAGGACCGCGCGTAGGCCCGCCCACCTCCACCTAGTGCCGCCTACTTCGCTCGCGGTTTAGCCTCCCAGCCAATAGGCGGCCACACTGGTGATTTCCTTACACACCTCTTTAAAAAGACAGTGAAAGGATCTACCAAGACTTTGAAATACTAGCTGGTTTTAGTTCTCAGAAGCAGGTGTTAATGCAAAAGTGCCTCTTCTTCTTTCCTACTTTTCATTTTCTTTCTCAAAGGCTTTCCCTCAAATTGCTCATTGTTCTTTATGTCCATTAATTAAAGGCCTATTGATTTACTGGACAGTGTGTGAAGTAAAAAAATAAGAACTCATCATTGCCTTTGAGAAGCTTAAACGGTATTTCCACAGACAATGCCTAAGCATAGGAAATAGTAAATATAATATAAGACTATCTCAGGACAGTTTCCAGATAAGTTCAGATTAAAGAGAATACTTAAACCAGTGAGATCAGGGAAGATTTTATCACCCATTCCCTTAGAGGTGTTTGTGATTGTTTTATTAAATTTCATACATGGTAGATTTAGTATGCACCTCAAACTGAACATTTATTGAGCTTTCTTCAAGAAACTTTTACTTTTGTTGAAAATAATCAGATGTATTAAAACGCAAACTGCTATTAAAAAGAGAGATGAATTGCAGTTGGTAAGAATTAGAGGAGGGGTGTAAAAGAAGCTCCTACTAGGAAATTAGAAATTGAGCCTGATCTTGAGTAAATATTGGTTGGCTGAATCAAGGTGAGTAAGGATTCATTGAGGAGAAGGGTAATCCCAGAAGCAGGAATAAACATGGTCTATTTTAATTAGTGTAAAATTTGATTCTTTGCTGAATGTGCTATGGCATCATTTCTTGACTTTTTGTATATTCTCTAATACCATACATGAATTTATGCAAATTCCTCTTTGCTGGGCATTTATATAGCATATTAGTCACTGACATAAATCTGTATGGCTTGCAAACCTGACTTTACCTGCCAGGTACTGGCTATTTTGACTAAGGTCACTTAGTCTCTCTGTGTTTTACTTTCTCTAATCTGGGCAGATGGTAGTTTAAACCATATGAAATTGCTGATAACTGATCATTTTTGATCTACAGAAATGGCTAGTTCCCATGGTTTCACCTAATATAGTATCTACCACATTGGGTAGGTGTGAGGAATTAATGAGGGAACTCACGAAAAACGCTTACTTAGTGCAGTGCTTGGCTCATAGTAAACGCTCAGTAAGTGAGAGCTCCTATTATAAATGCCCCTGCTCTTTCCCCCTTACAATCCAGTTCTCACAACATTGGCAAATTCATGACATGAATTCAAAGCAGCATTCTGTGATGTTTTAAAAATTTACATATGTAAACTCATTTACTCTTCACAGCAACTCAGATACATTTTCAAATTTTGTTGAAAATTTGAAAATCTCACTATTAATAAGTTTTGGGGTCCCAATAAAATAAACCTAAGTCCTTTATCTTCGAACTCCTTACTCTTTCATCTTACAATTTATTCTATGACACAAAAAGAGTATTTATTATAGTGATTTTAATTCTTGAATGTGTGTGTGCATGATTTATATGCTTTTTATGCCTGTAAAGCTTTATTTTACTGTATATTATATTTAATGATACCCTTGCCATGGCACCATAGTTTTGGCAGAGGGAAACGTAATCTTCTAAATTTATTTGGTGATAAAAACAGGGAAAGCAAAATCAGAGCTTTATAATATACAGTTATTTTGAGTGAGTCTTTTTTTCTCCTGTTTATGGAAGAAGAGTTATATTGTTGACATTCCATCTTTGGGGATAGTAAATTTTGGTTTCAGATACTTTAAAATTCTTCTGTAAATGTTTATGAATATGAAGAATCACTAACATTTGACTGATCTTTTTTATTTTTGATTCTCCTGACCTTTCTAGGATCTGATACTACTGTCCATGTTCTTCTTTAAAAATCACTCTCCTCACTTGGCTTGCAATACACTATACCACAGTATCCTCAAAATATTTGTTCACAGAACACTTAAAAAATTATAGTGTACTGTTGGAAGCCCAACAGGGGCTAATAAACTATAAGTGTTTAGATTAAAGCAAACAGCAAAAATGGTCTTATGGACGAATTAATTGTTGCAGGAGGTGATCATATTTTCATTCAGAGTCTGTTTTTACTTTATACAAGGACAAACAAAATTTGAGAATTAAAAATCATTTTACTTTTTTAAGGGGCTACCTGGTGCATTTTATTATTAAGGTAAAATAGATTTAAATTCTCGAATTTAGTTTAATTCCTAAAATTAGTAATTGCTATGTTCATGTTACCATATTCAGGAGCCACTAATTGGATTATGGCTACTCTAGAAAGGAGGGTTTTAAAAAGAATTTCTCTAGGAGTATTCTAAAACCCAAATTCTTAGGAAATAATACAGTTGTCACTGTATTTGTCATATGATTTGGAGGAACAGAACTTGTTTTGGAATATAACATGGGCAAAGGCAGAGAAGTGGAAATAACCACAACATTTTCTGACAAGAAAAGAAAGGGAGACACCTACCTTGAGCAGAGGTACAGCTTGAAAGGGGAAGGGAATGAGGGTGTGATTAATGGAGGGCTGTTAACATCAAGCTGAGGCTTTCAGGTTTGGGTTAAGAAGATGCTTGACCTTGAGTCAAGCATTGTATTGACTTGAAGCAATAAATAAGAAAAAAAAATCTATATTTAATAATAATATTTATTTATTTAATAGCTATTTCTCAAGTGTCTAATACTCATCAGGTATTGGACTAGGCACTTCAGATTCACAGTGAGCAAAGTGACTTTATCCCTGGTTGCGTGTAATTTATCATCCAGTGAAGGAGGCCGATTTTAATCATATAATTACAAGTAAATGTAAAATTTTTATTGTAGTCGACACTATGAAAATGGGGTACAAATATAATAAATCTGCAAGTGGTATGTAAAATTGCTGAGGACCAGCGAGAAGACTCTGGTAGTCACCTAGACACAGGTTAGTGAGAACCTGGCCCATGGTGATGAACGCTGTGAAGATGTGTCAAAACAGAATACATGTGCCTTCATTTTGCCCTAGTTAGTAGAAAGGAGAGAAATCAGGTTACCATGGTGGGGTTAGAAAAACTGATAAGGTTTACTTAGAGCAAGCAAAATAAAAAGTAGGGCACAGAGAAAAGTCAGGGAGCCAAAATGTAGCAATTAACCTTTTAATGTTATTTTCCCATATTGGTAAGAGCACAGCAAAACGGATGAGCTGGGATGAGTGTCCATTGTTTACTCTCTGAGGTCACAATCATCCAGATTAATTATCTTCACTCAGCCACTGCTAAATTATTGCTGGAGCCTAGGGGGAGGAAAGGGCCCCAAGCAGTCCCCATCTTCCAACGGTGGCCTCACCTCCCCCTTGCCCTTTTACACTGTGGAGTCTAATCAAAGGATGGGAAGAGAGAACGTCCTTTTAAAGAAAGCAGGCAGTATGTATGGGCAATCCCAGATGGGTTATGCCTACTAGAGAAAAGGAAGTGAAATCAGCCATTCACAGGCCTTATCACACAAAGGACTACAAAATCTCTGGAAAATAAATGGTATGAGCAGCATTTATTTAATCATTCAGGAAGCCTTATTGAATATCTAATGTCATCTAAGGACTGTTCTAAGGAATTTAGACTAGCTCTTCAAGACTGAGATATTCCTGATTTTTAGTACAGAAGACATATAATAAATAAAACTTAAAAATGATTTCAATGAAATTTAATGCTATGAAGAAAATAAAAGAATATTGTCATAAAGTGTATGAGAGAGTGGCAACCTTGATACCAATGTCTATAAACTGTTCAATGCGATGCCCAGACATTTTGTACTTGAGTTGCACCATTGATAGCCTCAACTGTTACGTTTTTCCGTTGCTGGGAAGAGAAGATCTAGCATTGAGTTACTTCTACCAAGGAAAGAGCAGATTTATAATGAGGCTGTGTAGAGCTCTTTGTCAGAAGGCAGCACTTTTCTGAGAATCCCTCTGGCTCACCTTCATAAAGCAGATCCAGCCCATTTTCATGATACCAGACGACAAAAATTCTGGTCATCAGGATCCTGAAATTCCAATATTTCACTCTGAGTAGGGCATGGTACTTACAGACCACCCAGGTAAAATGACTAGTCATCTTCTGGAAAATCCAACAATGATGTTATCTGAAAATCAGGATTAATGAACTTTGGGGCTTTGGGGTTATTCAAAACTGTTTGATTTCCAGTTTTACTCTTTTCGGGGAGGTATGGACCCTGTATCCAGACTGCTGAGATTTAAATGAGTTAAAATCCATAAAGCTTTTAGAACAGTGCCTAGCACGTAGTAAAATGTCCACGAGTGTTAGTTATGTACACATTTTGTATGTGTGTTTAACATAAATGTGAATATATTATTATTTTATGCAATTTATTTTAAATTGAATAATATATTATTTTTCCATAACAGAATATATAGTACATAGATGTCTATCTCATCCATATTAAAAACAACCTAATAGTTTATTACATGAACATATTATAATTTTTCTCTGTGTTGATGGTCAGGTAGGTTGTTTTCAGGTTTTTGCTAGAATAAACAATGTGGCCATAAACATTCTTAGTAATTGCCTCTTTGTACATAGGGGGACATTTTTTCTCAGAGAGATAACCAAATGTAGTATCACTGTCTTTTTTTTTTTTTTTCAATTAGCAATAATTGCGCCTTGGATAAACCTCATTGGCTATGATACTGCCACTGTGCAAAGCTTGTAGTATCACTGTCTTGAATGGTGTGCATGTTTTCTACTTCAGTAGCTACCACTGAACCAATTTTCATTCAAATCTAAATTGCATAAGACTACTCATTTCGTCCCACAATCGCCAACACTAGATATTATCTGTCATTT